GAGGAGGCGGAGGGAGAGGAGCAGGAGGTGGAGGGAGGAGGAGGAGGAGGAGGAGGAGGAGGAGGAGGAGGAGGAGGAGGAGGAGGAGGGAGGAGGAGGAGGAGGAGGAGGAGGAGGAGGAGGAGGAGGAGGAGGAGGAGGGTAGGAGGCATCCAGGCCGGCCCCGGGAGGCCTCAACGATTGTGCCGAGGAAGCCATGGAACTTCCAAGAAGGCCCCCGAGAGGACAGCACGCTCGAGCACTGCATCGTGCCAACGACAACTCTCTTGCGCAGCTCTGATGCTGTCATCGTCAGTTCGGCCTCAGACGGGCATCGAAGTCCTCTGGATGGCCCATGCAATTCCATCCAGGGCCCCACGACAGGCTCAGGAGGGCGCCCCCTCAAAGAGGGGGGTTGAAGGCAGACAGAGAGAGGAAGGGGCGGAAGGCATAACCATAACTACAGTACACTTCAAAGAACGGCAGCGGGATTCACCGAGTGCTACTGCATACCATCACGATGCTTGGGGGCGCCCTTTAGATAACACGACGAAATGATTTGTTTTCTTGGGGGGGACATGCCAGGAACAACATGTCCCCTGCCCTACCTGAGCTGCAAGCAGGCGAGCCCGAGCAGCTTCTCAGGCCAAGCAACGCCCCACGTGGATTCTTGAACAGGCCCTGCGTACTGCTCGTCGGAACGGCCGCCCCATGTGGTCGCAAGAGAGTAACCCACGGTTGGTGCACATCCGCAGTCCACGGACCGTTCTGCTGATTCCGACGCCTTTCCCGCTAACCCCTTCATGCTCGGCTACGGACACCCTGAGCCCCAAAACGCTGCCATCCCTCGGGGGCGCATCTTGTACTCCCGCCGCCGTCCGCTGCCCTTCCGCCGGCGGAGCCGCCCACGGTCCACTGCCGCCGCCCTCCGCCGGCGCTCCGCCGACGAAGAGACAGGGCCAACTTCTCCATCCCTCGAAGGCGAGGGCCTCTGCAGAACGCGCCGTGTCACGCGCATGCATCGAACACACCGTGCGCAGGACGATCCGAGGGGTGGCCTCTCCCACCCAAACGGCCCCGCCCAGCCTCACCCCATCGCCCCGGCGCCTCTCGCAGCTTCGGGAGCGACGTGAAGGAGCCGGCGTCGGTCGCTGAACGAAGCCCTGTTGCGGCTGCGGCGGGGGCAGCTCGCATTCGGGAGTCACGCTCGGAAGCCTTTTGCACGGACGAGAGTGATCGATCCTGCTGGAGAAGCCTGGAGTTGTACTCACCTCATCTTTCTTGACAGCCTGAACGGCTGCAAGCGGCATGCAAGCCGGTGTGCCCATGGTCACCTAAGATGTCGCCCATGGGCCAGACCGGCCAAGGATTGACACTTGTTTGCTGAGCAGCAGCCAAGTGAGGTCAACGACCATATTGATCGGCACTATCAGTGCCTGGCCTACCCGACCACATGCTGCACGGCACATATCTACATATATATATATATATATGTGTATATATACACATATACATGTGTAGTTGTATGCCTGTCCATGACATGAGATGCCGTAGCCAAACAAATGATATGTTGATATGATGTTCAATCCCTGGGATGTGAACTCATTGAAAGAGAACATTACGTACCCCGCGCCCTCCCCAACATGGCAACTCAGAGGACTGCCTTTGCACGCGCAGGCGCGTGCGCGCATATGTATGCGCCCACGCAGCGCGCACGTGCACACTCGTTTGAACAAGCACTCCTCACACTCGCGCGCCCACTCACACGCACGCTCGCTCGCTCGCAAATCCTCGCGCGCAGGCGCACGCGCGCACTCGCCCGAGAACGCACTCACGCGAGATCCCAGGCAAGCAAGCGCGCGCGGGTACTCCAGATTTCGAAATAAAGGGAGGGGTGTCTCATTTCGGGGGGGGGGTCTCTTCCAGGCTATCTTGGAGGGCCTGGGGGGTCTGGGGACGATGTTTTGGAGGGTTCTCCCACGGGGGAGGTCTGAAATGGCTTGTCTTGGAAGGTCCAGACCCCCTCCCCATGATTAAAAAGTCAAGAGTACGCAAAATCACTCCTGAACGCGTGGCGGCGGACACACCCACTGCAGATTCAAAGCCGAGGGGGCTCCACGAGACGGCCGGCTCCGCTGTGCGATCGGCGGCGCCTGGGATCCGAGATGCGCCCCGCTGGCCACGACGGGACTGCTGCGGGGGCGAACCGGGCACCGAGGCGGCCGGGAAGACTGCACGGGGCGTGAAAACGACCACAGCCACTGCTTTTCTTTTGTTGCCGCCTTCCAGCCCGCAGAAACAGAGCAGTGGTTGTGGCCATTTTCGTTGAGCTTGGCACCAGGGAGATGACCACAACCACTGCTTCTTGTTCGGCCGGCTGGAAGGCGGCGCAAACAAGAAGCAGTGGCTGTGGTCATTTTCCCGTCCCGCAGGCTGGGGGAATGGGGGCAGCGGGCCGCGGACTGCAGGAGCTGCAGCCACGCAATTCTATACAGCCGGGCGTCTTTGGACAGGACACGCGAGAGGACAAGAGACCCTTCCGAGGGCCCCATTGCCAAAGGAATGCAGGAAGCATGGGTCGCGAGACACGGGACACAAGTGTACCCTTGATTTGGCAGGGTCGACCTGCTAATCTGGGCCGACTGTAGGCAAGTACGCACCCGGACATGCGACGTCCTGACCTCTCCAATGCGGGAGCCCTGGAAATGCCGACGCTTTCCCTGGGGCCGGTTTCTCGTCCTAGGTCGCTTTTGGACGGGCCCGAGGCCCGGCGAGGGCCCCCCGAGGGCGAGCATGGCCACGGATCTCCCGTCCTGCTTTGTGTACGACGCGATCACGTCTGGGCAGAGAGCAAGCGGGCGGTCTTCTGGCACGCGCACGCACGTGATGCATTCATCCGTGCACGCATGGGCAATTCTGAGCATCGCGCAGACGTTCGCACAACGATCAGTCCAACGCGGGCCGCGGGAGGGGGAAGGCAGTACGTAGTCACCAGAACACCGACGCCAACATCCGAGAACTGATGGGCTGATTTCCCACCACCACTACCATAGGTAGGAGAGGGAGAAGGAGGAGGAGGAGGAGGTGGAGGAGGAGGAGCAGTAGCAGGAGGATGAGGAGGAGCAGGAGGAGGAGGAGGCGGTAGTGGTGGTGGAGTCTTGGCCCATCAAGAACGATCGCCTGAAGAAACAGGGTGCGACCTTGTGGGCTCGTGCCCACGGAACTATGCTGCACAAAGGGTGTATTGCAGCGAACTCAGCCGTCAAACCGCAGAAGCATAACCCGCAACCAACGCGACGGTGGAGAAGATAAGACGGTCAAAATCCATACTTTTGCCTAGAACAGCATAGACACAGGCCATCGACCCTCGGGTTGATAATCCGTCCGCAGTTAGGCTGATGCGGCAACAACGCGAATTGTGATAGTCTCTTCACCATTCAGACTCCCGCTGGCAAGACACGCGAACAGGGAACAAACCATACACGGTAGGGAAGACCGCGGCCACAGATGGTGATAATCGGCCTGGCTAGCCAAACCCATGCCACACGACACAGGCTGGCGCTGGGCAGAAGGACGCGAGCGCTCAAGAAGTCAGAGTGCGCAATTGTTCCCGGCCATACGAACCTCCATCGCGTGGGAAGAGCCTGGCTGCTTTGCCAACGCCTCCTGGTGATCGGACTGCGCGCGCGACCCCAGACCCCCGACGTCGTGATTTTGTTCACAACGTCAACCCCCCGAGGTCTGCACCTCGTCCCTGGGACCGGTTTTTCATCCAGAGGCGTCTGTTGACGGCCTCAAAGCCCGGCCAGGACCCCACGAGGCCGAGAATGGCGAGAAACCTCCCGTCCTGATTTTTCTACGACGCGATCATGTCTGGGATCCTGGCTGCGCACGACGCACGGACAGGCCCAGGAGGAGGAGGAGGAGGAGGTGGAGGAGGAGGAGGAGGAGGTGGTGGTGGAAGAGGAGGAGGAGGAGGAGGAGGAGGAGGAGGAGGAGGAGGAGGAGCAGCAGCAGGAGGAGGAGGAGGAGGCGAGGAGGACCTCCTCATCCTACATTTGGTCGCGGTGGTGGAAAATTGGCCCATCGGGGCGCAGGCCAGATCAAAAACCCCGGCGGGTGCCGTCGCAGCAGCCAGGACGGGGCCTGCCGGCCTGTGCACGGACCGACGCGCCGCAGCGGCGCTGGCGCCGGAGCCGGCCGCCGGCGCTTCCCCGGGCGGAGTGGCACGCAGAAGGCACCCACTCGCCATCGCTCGGACGTCCATTCCCTGTGTTTTTTTCGGTTTCGTGCGTGGTTTTTTTTTCGCCAAATGATCAAGGATGCTCCTCGATGGTCCTCGCCGAGAAAAGAGTGCACACGTCCGAACGATGCCATGCCCAGGCACCACGGCACTGCCCGGCCAGGACCGCCCTGAGCCCTGGCGTAAGCGAGGGCCCATCCCCAGACATGCTCGCGTCGTTAAGAAATCAGGACGGGAGGTGTTTAGCCGGTTTCGGCCTCGGGGGGCCTCGGGCCCGTCGAAAAACGAGTCAGGACGAACAACCGGTCGCGGGGAAAGAGTCGGGAATTCCAGGGACTCCGTTCTGGAAAAATCAAGACGTCGCATGTCTGGTTCGGTGGGACGGGGTGGGAAGGCGTTGGGGGTAGAGTGGATCTCCGCCCGCCCCATGAAGACGAAGGAAGAGGGAGAACCACGCGACCCTTGAAATAGTACGGCGCCTACGTGCAGAAAGTCGGAAGATTGGGAACCAAGTGCCCAGCTTCACCGACCGATGGGCACGCCCTCCTTTCTGGGGCCAGGGGGGGGCCATGCCCTCCCTGGCGCGCGGAGCGCGCCAGGAGCGGCACCAGAGGCGCTGCCAGGGGGGCCCATGCGCCGATCCAAGACAACCGAGAGGAGCGTCGAACGTGTCGGTGGGGGTAATTATTGGATAAGGAAGCATTGGATAAGGAATCGAGAGTCTGGAAGCTTGCCGAGGATATCACCGCCGCCCTCATCAGATAAGGAACCCTCCGAGGTCTGCGGCCTCCTTGACGAACGCCCCCATCGCATGTTTAGGCAGTTTTTGTTTGCTCTTCGAGGGGAGGCGCCCTGACATGGACCACTCGGGCGGCCTGAGGGCAGCGCCCTGGCAGGCACAGGTGCCCTCTGCGGACGTGGGCGCCGCAAGGGGGGGGGGGGGAAGAACGCCGCGGCCCACCGGCCGCGGGCGGACCTCTGCGAGAGCATGACAAAAAAACACTAAACACACACTGGGCCGCGGAGTGCAGGCCGCGGCTGCCCCCGTGCGCCTCGGGGTCACGGCCCCCTTCCCTGCTCGGCTGCGCGCCGGAGTGACCGCGGCGCGGACCGCTGCGCCACCACCCGAGGAGCGAGCCCCCGGGTGGTGGTCCAGCTCAGAAGGACTCGGCTACTGGCTGGCGCCAGGGGCCAAGCGGGAGGAGCCTGCCTCCACCCGCGTTGGGGGCCGCTCCAGCCTCGCCCTCCGGCCACGACTACACGCAAGGGTGACCCTGGGCAAGAGTGACCCTTGGTGCGCGGAAGGGGGCGTGAGGCGGCCAGATCCAGGCGCGCAATCAGCCGCCATGGCGTCGCGCTCAGCGATCAGGGGGACCCCGAGGAGCCTGCGCCAAAGGTCGCTCCGGCGAAGCGTCACTCTTACGCGTAGTTCGTCGACCCGCGGCTGGCCGCCTCGGCAGAGGTGGTGGGCCAATCCCGCGCGTCGCGACGACGGCCCTGGCCCAACTACCTGGACCCCCGACATGATGATGTTGTTCATAACGTCGACCCCAGGTCTCGACCACCTCTCAGGGACCGGTTTTTCATCCTGTGCCGTTTTCTGACGGTCCCGCGGACCGGTAAGAGCCTCCAGAGGCCGGAAATATAGAAAAGCACCCGCCATTATTTCTTCATTACACGAGGGGGGGTCTGGCTACGGTCCGGGACGTTATAAATTTGCTCAGCGTGTCGCGGCGGCGGCCCAAGTGACACGCTGTGCCGAGCGCGCGGATAGCGTGCCGCCCCGCCACGCGGAACACGAGGCTGGGAAACGCTGGGGACGTGGACCCTCGGGGACCGGGACGTGCTCAGCAGGGCTCGACTGGAACAGTGTTGTTCGTTGTCGTTTTGCTTTCGTTTTCCCTGAACTTGCCTTATACATCCGCCATTGCTGCAAAACGGCATCGAAACGAGAACGGCCCACGAAGTCGCTCAAAAACACCGTTCAGGTCCACCCCTGGTGCTCAGCGAGTCGCGCCGACGCGGGGATCTGCTGGCCCACGTCGATCCAAACCCTGGTCAGTCGGGCCTTGCGGGACCCCGCAAGAGCTCGCAGGATCCTGCGACATCCTGCGCGCTGGCCCGGGTCAATGCAACCCTGGCTTTGCAGGATCCGGCAAGATCCTGCTCTCTGGCCGACCCCCGTCAGCATTCCCAGCCCCCCGACGTCGTGACTGTTTCAGAACGTCGACCCCCAGAGGTCTGGACCCCTTCCCCAGGACAGGTCCTTCTCCCTGAATCGATCTTCGCCGGCCCCGAGGCCCAGCGAGGGCCCCACGAGGCCAAAAACGGCCCAAAACCTCCCGTCTTCATTTTTAACGACGCGATCATGTCTGGGAGGATGACAAAGCGGAACCTGGACCCCTTCCCCGGGACCCGTGTTTCGTCCTGAATCGTTTTCGACGGTCCCGAGGCCAGGTAAGGGCCTCCGGAGGCCGAACAAAATAGCGAAAAACCTCCCGTCGTGATCGTTTCACCACGCGAAGGGGTCTGGGAATGCAGAGGTCTGGACCCCTTCCCCAGGACCAGTTTTTCATCCTGAATCGTTTTTCGAAAACATAACCCAGACATGCGTCGTCCTGATTTTTTCAATGCGGGATGCCTGGAAGTCCCGACCGTTTCCCCGGGCCCATATTTCCGTCCTGAGGAAGAGGATTGATTCACGATTGCTTCACGACGCGAGGGGGTCTGAGCCCCGTCTTAAGGCTCCCTGGCGAAGGCGCGGTGGGCCAGCATCCGGCGGCGCGACACGCTGCGGCAGGATCTCGACCACAAGAGATCGTTCACAAGAAGCCCATCCCTGAGTCCTCCCAGACGTGATCGCGTCGTAGAAAAATCAGGACGGGAGGCTTGTGCCAGGCTTCGGCCTCGGGGGGCCCTCGCCAGGCCTCGGGACCGTAAAACAACGACTCAGGACGAAAAGCCGGTCCTGGGGAAAGGGTCGGGACTTCCAGGAACCCCGTATCGAAAAAAACAGGACGCCGCATGTCTGGGAACCCATCCCGGAGACCCCAGGACGTCCATGGATGCTTGGAGCGGGAAAGTCACGCTCTCCACGGCAAAGCTACCGGAACCCAAGAAACCCAGGGCACCCTGGAGGCAAGCAGGGGGTTTCTTGGCATGGGCTTTCACTGTAGCAGGTTCGCCAACACATCGAGCTCGGAGATACCGTCTGTGGGCGGTAAAGATGGTGGGGTGTGGGGGGGGGTACTGGAAAGCTGTGGAAGACGGGACTGCAACAGGGGCTACTGGAGGCCGACAACGGCCAAAAAGCTCCCGTCGAGATGCTGTCACCGCGCGAGGGGGCCTGGGAACGCAGCAGCCCGAACCGATGCGGGCAACAGGTGCTTCTCGGCGTGGGTTTCCACGGTCGGCACCACAGCTCCCCCCCGCAGGCCGCTCCACCTCCGCGCGGCTGCGCCTTGCGCGCGGAGCGCCCGCGCGCCCTCGCGAGGGCCGCCCTTCGGGCGGGTGGCCATCGCGGGGGGCCGCTGGGTCCCAATGGGGCCCTTCTGGGGCCCCCAAGGCGCCCCTCAAGGGGGCCCCTTTGAGGCCCCAAGAGTGGAGGAGGAGGAGGAGGAGGAGGAGGAGGAGGAGGAGGAGGAGGAGGAGGAGGAGGAGGAGGAGGAGGACCCAAATGTGGCCCTTGAAGGTCCCAAGGGGGCCCCTTGAGGGCCCCGACGGGGCGCCAACCGGGGCCAGCAGGGGCCCAAGAGGCAAACAGGGGCCTCTCAAAGGGGCCCCCAAAGGGGCCCCTTGGAGGCCCCAAAGGTGGCCCTCAAGGGGCCCTTGAAGGCCCCAAGGGTAGGGAACCCACCAAGGACGAACGCGCCCAGCTATGTACATGAACACGGCCCCTCGATTCGCGAGACCGGCCGCGACATGCGAACATTTCTGCAATGCGTGCTCTCGAAACCAGCGTGGATGCATGCACACGTACGTCCTTCTTTCGCTCCTGAAAAGGGGGGCCTCTGAGGGGGCTCCGACGGGGCGCCAGAATGGGGCCGGCAGGGGCCCCGAAGCAGCAGCCAGGGGCCCCTTTTCGAGGGCCCGTTCCGCCACCCCCCCCCAGTGGAAGTCACGCCCCGGACGCTCTGGCCATCGCTCGGACGCCCATTCCCCGTGTTCTTCTTTTTTGCAGTTTCGCGCGCGGCTTCTTCGCCAAAGGATCGAGGATGCTCCTCGATGGTCCTCGCCGAAGGAAAGATGCACACGTCCGAGCGATGCCAAGTTGCCGCCCGCCCGAGCCTCGGAGTAATTATGCGCGGCTCTCCGGCACAGGGCGCGGCGCCAAAGCCTCGGAATAATTATGCGCGGCTTTCGGTTTCGTGCGTGGCTTCTTCGCCAAAGGATCGAGGATGCTCCTCGATGGTCCTCGCCGAAGGAAAGACGCACACGTCCGAGCGATGCCAAGTTGCCGCCCGCCCGAGCCTCGGAAAAAATTCTGCGCGGCTCTCCGGCACAGGGCGCGGCGCGCTCGGGCCTCCGCGCATGGCCAGAGCCAGGAGGGGAAAAAACACACACACAGACACAGCGAGTCGTCGATTCCCAGGAAAATAAAGGATTATCCCGGCAAAGCAACCTAACAGCGATGTGTAGAAGCATATCTGAAAGCATTCCCCTTAAGATTCAGATGAAAATCCAGTTGTCGAATTCTGCTGTTCTCGCAGTCGTAGTCGCATTCGCGATGACAGTCGCAGCGGCAACGGCAGTCGCAGTCACAGCCTCAGCCTCAGCCTCAGCCTGCCTCCTCCTCCTCCTCCTTCCTCCTGCTCGTCCTCCTCTCCTCGTCTTGTCTCCTCTCTCCTGGTGCTCTCTCCTCCTCCTCATCCTCCCTCTCCTCCTCCTCCTCTCCTCCTCCTGGTGGTCCTCGTTCTCTCCTCCTTGGGTGCTCTCCCCCCCCCTCCTCCTCCTCGTCCTCCTCCTCCTCCTCCTCGTCTCTCTCCTCCTCTTCCTCCTCTCCTCCTCCTCCTCCTCCTCCTCCTACTCCTCCCCCCCCTCCTTCCTCCTCATCTCCTCCTCCTCCTCTTCCTGGTCGTCTCCTCTCTCGTCTCCTCGTCTTGCTCGTCCTCCTCCTCCTGGTGTCTCCTCCTATCCTCCTCCTCCTCCTCCTCCTCCTCCTCCTCCTCCTCCTGGTGGTCCTCGTTCTCCTCCTCCTGGTACTCTCCCCCCCCCTCCTCCTCCTCCTCCTCGTCCTCGTCCTCCTCCTCCTCCTCCTCCTCTTCCTCCTCCTCCTCCTCCTCCTCCTCCTCCTCCTCCTCCTCCTCCTGGTACTCCTCCCCCTCCCCTCCTCCTCCTCCTCCTCTTCCTGGTCGTCCTCCTCCTCCTGGTCGTCCTCCTCCTCCTGTTCGTCCTCCTCCTCCTCCTGCTCGTCCTTCTTCTCCTGCTCCTCCTGCTCCTCGTCCTGCTCCTGCTCGTCCTCGTCCTCCTGGTCTTGCTCGTCCTCCTCCTCGTCGTGCTCTTGCCCCTGCTGAAAATGAAGTCGAAGAGCACGAAGTTGCCTACAGTTGGCTACGGGCATTCAAAATGTGGCCCGGGAATGGAGTTCTGGGAACTCGAAGAGCACGAAGTGGCCTACAGTTGGGTCCGGCTATTCAAAATTGGCTCCAGTTAACCTCCGGCTATTCAAAATGTGGCCCGGGAATGGAGTTCTGGGAACTCGAAGACCAGGAAGTGGCCTACAGTTGGCTCCGGGCATCCAAAATGTGGCCCGGGAATGGAATTCTGGGAACTCGAAGAGCACGAAGAGTGTGACTGTTGCATCCGGCCCTCCAGAATGTGGCCCGGGAATGGAGTTCTGGGAACTCGAAGAGCACGAAGTGTGTGACTGTTGCATCCGGCCCTCCAGAATGTGGCCCGGGAATGGCGTTCTGGGATCTCGAAGAGCACGAAGTGTGTGCCTGTTGCATCCGGTTATTCAGAATGAGCCTGGGAATGGAGTTCTGGGAAGTCGAAGAGCACGAAGTGTGTGACTGTTGGTGAAAAACGAGGCCGGCACAGGCCCGCCCGGCAACTCCCAACACCTGCCCGGACCCCCCTGTGGAGTGATCTGCGAGCTGTTTTTAGCCTATTAGAAACCTACCAGTCTTCGATGTTAGGTAAAAATCTGGGAAGTGGGGGGGAAGACAAAAACCCCAAAAATATGAGAACATATGGGGAACTTCCTTTTATTTGCGTGTATTTCTTTGTGTGTGTCCCAGGGTCCCTTCACAGAAGGGCCTTGCGAGAGCCGAGCCGCACCACTCGGGCAGAAAGTGCAGGGCGACATGCCCAGGGTCCGTGGACGCTGGAAGTGTACCCATCACCCATGAGAAGCAGGCAGAAGCATGGTGCAGGAAGGCGTCGACAGTAGATCGGGGCTTCCGCCCGCCCCCTGAAGAGGAAGGTTGGACTATTCAAGTCGGAAGGCGCCATAATATTACGTTTTGGAATCTAAGAGTCCGAGAATACCGATGTTCAACGAATGATGGATATGTTGGTCTGGCGGGCATTGCTCACGGAGGCCAAGAACGACAGACACAAGTTCATGCACTCACGCACACTCGCGCGTAAGCGTGCAAGCGAGCACGCACGCACGAGTACACCATACGTACGCGAGCGCATACAGCTGGCCCTCTTCTCCTCTCCGTGACGCTCCAAAGTTGGTGGAGAGCCTCCTGCAACTTTCTTGCCGTCACCACCTTCTGTTGAACGAACCTTGGAGTCTTTCGGAGCCTGACAAGACAGAGCGAAGGGAGGATGAGCAGGAGAGATGATCATCTGGATGCGCACTATGATCACGATGACAAGAAGCAAGAGGAGGAGGAGCAGCAGCAGCGTCAGGAAGGCGGTGGAGGAGAAGTAGGGACATGATGAGAAAAGAGAGGAAGAAACAGGTCAAGAAAATGTGTACGGCTAGTAGGCGCTAGGTTCCCGCCATCACTCAAGCAGGCAAATTCTGAACTGTTCTCGCTTCTGACCTACTTGCCGTACTTAGATGCCTCCCAGATGGGGTCTTTGTAGATGGGGTCGAAGGATCGCGCCGCATCGACGATACATCGGCGATGCATCGGCGACGTCGGCGCGATCCTCCGACCCGATCTACTCGGACCCCATCTGGGAGGCCTCGAATATGGTCACTCCCATGAATGTTCTGGTGCCCTGGGCCAGTGAAAGCGAGATAGAAACCAAACGGGGTCATGGCAGTCCATTGGCAATTGGTACCTGACCCCACGGTGCCCGTTACAACCCACTCCATCGTGGACGTCCGCACAAGTCGCTCACCGAGGCAAATGAATGTGGCGATGATTCGGCTACGCGCAAGAGTGACCCTAAGCGCGCAAAACGCCTACAGTCGCACGCACTCGGCGATCGGGGGGCCCCCGTGGGCGCGCACCAAAGGTCACTCCTGCGAAGGGTCACTCTCATGTGTGGTCGAGTGATGCTTTGGGCGAAAATCCGCCACCCGTGCTCCTGAGGCACGAACATCCGCCACCCATGCATTCGGAGCATCAGCGTATAGCACTGTTAGTTAGCGCAAGGGCCCGCGCCAAGACATCAAGCTGAAAGCTGAAGAATAGTTGACACGCACGCGCTGGCAATTCAATGTGTGTGCGCGCGTGTGTATATAAATATGCTCACACAAGAGATGTAAGGCTAGCTGCGCGTCGCCTTGTAGATCATGATCCTTGCGCAAACACATTTTCTTGACCCTGCGGCTAGCATGTTGATGTAGCCGCAATGTTGTTACGACCCATCCCCGAACCCAACGTCGGGGAGGCTAACCTAGCGCAGCCCCGATTGACAACGGACCCGCCGCGCTTCGTCCGAGCCGAACGCCAGTTTCGGCACTCGCCCAGCACGAAGGGAAAGCAGCGGCGGTCGTCAGTTGTCTCGCGCTGGAGGTGGCGCTCGCAGAAGGCGGATGTAGCCGAGGCCCAGACGGGAGTACCATTTTCACTCACGAACGCGGCCGGCGCTGGGGCGGTAGCACAAATCTTGGACATGGATGTGGCTGGCGCCTGGGCGGAACACCATTCTCCCATGAGGGCCGTGGGAACTGTGCGAGTGGAGCGGCATCACAGTAGTCAATCAGAAATGTGGCTGGCGCTGTGGAAAGAGCACCACACTCCATGAAGGTTTGGCCGGCGGGCAGACGGCAGCATGACTCTCAGACAGAGATGTTGTGGCCAGCGCTGGGGCGAGAGCGCCTGTCCCAACTGGGAATGGGGCCTGCGCTCCAGCAGCAGCATCCTCTGCAATGAGGGGCGCTGTCGGCTCTGAGGCGACAGCACCGCTCGTATTGGAGAGTGTGGCCAATTCTGGGGTGGCTGCGCCAATCCTGGATCAGGATGCGGCCACGGATGGGCGAGAACGCAACTGCCGACGTATTGCAGACCGCGCGAGCGAAGCGGCAGCACCGTGCTGACTGAGGGACGTGGCCGGCGCCGCGGCGGGAGCACCTGTCCTACCGAAATCCGTCCGAGATGCAGAGAGGGAGGAGGAGGAGGAGGAGGAGGAGGAGGAGGAGGAGGAGGAGGAGGAGGAGGAGGAGGAGGAGGAGAAAGAAAAGAGGGGAGGTGGAGGAGAAGGAGAAGGAGGAGGATGGGGAGGGGAGGAGGAGAAGTGAGTTGTGGAAAAGCTAAGAAGGCGTGCAAGCAAATATCCTGCGGCCTCATAGAAAGGCAGGGTTCACATAGCGTCCCCCCGCCACTTTCGGCACGGCCCTCACACTGATCGTGCCCCCCCAGGAGCTCCACTTGCGGGTCAAGGGACAAAGTTCGCACGGTCCCCAAGGAAAACTGCACATCGAATTCTGGTTCCCGCGAGCGCTGCGGGAAAGCACACGGCGGCTGCCGAGGATGAAAACGAGAAAAGGAAGAGAGTGATGGGGGAGGGGGGGCAGAAAAGGGGAAGAAGGGAGGAGGGGAAGGAGGATGACGAGGAGGAGGTGGAGAAGGAGGAAGCTGCTTGAAAGGAAACTGAGTATCAGATTTTGCTTCCCGAGGTCGCCGGAGGAACAATCAGATAAGGAGGAGGAGGAGGAGGAGGAGGAGGAGGAGGAGGAGGGAAGCAACGAGCAGGAAGAGCACGAGGAGGGTGAGGCGGGGGTAAGAGGTGCAGACAGGGAGGACGAGGAGGAGGATGAGGAGGAGGAGGGGGGGGATGATTTTTTAAACGATCAACTCCTGCTTGACCCTCTCGACAGAGGACCGTCATCCTTGGGCTTTCTTAAAAAGGCCAGGGCGAGGGAAGAAACTTGACGTTCCTCTCACGCTTATTCTGCTGCGGGTGACGACCCTGGATAAAGTAATTCCATGCCGTTTGCCCTGCTCCCGTCTTGGAAGGAGTACAGAGCTGACCCAACTTCACAACGCGGCCACCAGAACCGTAAAAACCACACTCGCGGCAGATGCGCAAAAAGGAGCCATCTGTGCAGTCGGCCACCGCACACTGATGACCGCTGCTAGCAATGGGATTGGGGTGGAGGCGGGGAGGCTACACAGCAGCCAGGGGGCGGCATCTGTTCGCCTCTCCTTCCTCTCAGGCACGCTAGACACTGCCAAAATTCTCCGGTCCAAGACCAATTGTGCGGCTCAGCCGGGGTGCCCCTGCCCTTAGAAGTAGGCCGCACATAAGGAACACCCTCCAGGTTGCAGCGCGGCCAGAGGGGAAGCAATTTAGCAACTAAGGTGATCACAGCCTTGGAGACGCGAATCGAGCACACAATATGATCGAGCACCCTCGGCTCCGAGGAGGAGGAGGAGGAGAAGGAGGAGGAGGAGGAGGAGGGGTCTCATGTCGGGGGTGGACGGGGCTTCCTTCGCCACGGCGGCAACCCAAGTAAGCAGCAGGCGTTGCTCGCTCGCACAGCCACCTCTGCACTGTTTGCAGCAGGTACCTGAAAACTGAAGGTCGCGCACTTTATATCTTTCGGTCCGGGCTTGACTTCGTGAGGTACATGCTGCTCTACATGGCGGGCGTCTACTATTCGACATGTGTGCTTCCCGCTGTCTCTTCTTGCCGCCTCAGCTGCGGCGCCCGCCAAGTACTCCTTGCGCCGAGTTGTCTACCTTTTCTTTCGCTTTCAGCCTCACACCAAAAACGCCACATGCGGAAGCAGAAGTCTGGCCAATGCGAAAGGAGGAGGAAGAGGAGGAGGATCGGGGGAGAAGGAGGATGATAATGAAGAGGAGGAGGAGGAGAAGGAGGAGGAGGAGATGGGGGAGTGGAGGAGGAGAAGTGGGTTGTGGGAAAGCTGAGAAGGAGTGCAAGCGAAGATCTTACGGCCCCATAGGAAGGCAGTGTTCACATAGCGTCCCCCCGCCAATTTCGGCACGGCCCTCACACGGATCGTGCCCCCTGGGGGAGCTCCACTTGCGGGTCCAGGAGGGACAAAGTTCGCACGGGCTCCCTCCGCCCATCTCGGCACACCCATCACACGGATCGTGTCCCAGAAGGATGTAGTTCTCGTGCGGCTGTAGTGGGAGGATTCGCATAACGTCTCGTCCCCCCGCGTGTGTCGACTGTCTCCTCACACGGATCGTACCCCACAGGAAGCTGCAAAGTTCGCATCCAGCCGCCTCGCCCTTGTCGGCACACCCCTGACCTGGATCGTGAGTTCGGGGCGTCTTTGGTGCCTCTCGGGGCCTGTCTGCGTTGTCTGAAGGGCCTCTTGAAGCCCTGAGATGGACCGTGAATGGGGAGCCGCTTGAAGCCTTGGGAAGCTTCTTGGGAGCCTTTTCGTAAGCTTTTTGGAAGTCTCTGGGGGCCTCTTGGGCCTTCTTGGGGGTCCTTTTGGGGCTCTTTTGGGCCGGCTGGGGGCCCTCTTAAGCCGTCCTGGGGCCCTCTTGGGCCGTCTTGGGGGGCTTGGGCCGTCTTGGGGCCCTCTTGGGACCCTCTTGGGATGTCGAGGGGGCCTCGTCTGGGGCCCCCTCGGGCCTCTCTTGGCCGTCTTGGGGCTCTCTTTGGCCACCTTGGAGCCCTCCTGGGCCGTCTTGGGGCCCTCTGGGGGGCCTCTTGAGCCGTCTTGGGGCGACATCGGGGGCCTCTTAGGCCAGTTTGGGCGCTGTGAGGGCCGAGGAAGCGAATATGCTAGAAATGTCCGTTTTCCGACGGGAGTTTGACGACGTTTGCCTCTAGGGAGCCCTTTGGGGGGCCTCTTAGGCCGTGTGCAGAGCCTCTGTGGTCGTGTAGAAGCCGTCATGGGCCCTCTCGGAGCGTTCTCGGGTCGTCATGGGGCCGTCTCCAGCCTGTCTGAGGCCGTATGGGAAGTGCCTTTTGCCGTCTTGGGGGCCCGATGTGGGCCTCGGGCTCTCTTGGGCCGTCTCAGGGCATCGTTGAGCTAGCTCTCTTTGAGGCTGCAGGCGTATATCTGGGAGCCCTGGAGGGTGTGGCCGGCCGCAGGCCAGGTGTTCCTGGTACTTTCACAGGTAGAAGGCATGTGTGTGTCGTTGTCTTTGTGTTTGTGTTTGTGTGTGGATTGGCTGCCCCTGCTGCCACACGCAGGTGTCGGCATTGGACGCGCGAGGCAAAGACTCGGAAAAGACTGCGCCTCTTCTCTGCGGGAACTGACAACCAAGAAATCGGCCCTCGGGCAAGGCGAGCAGTACGCGTCTTCCCGGGTGCGGCAGGACCGTCAGCCGACGAAGCCTCTCCAGGACCCTTGTCCGTGCCGAGCGCTGTGCTCAGCACCGCCCCATCCACGGATGAGCTTTCTTCGGCAGCCGCCTGCCAGGCGGCGGCTGGTCTGGCGATGGCCGAAATCAGGCCATCCAGCCGGGGCGCTGGTCTTGTGAGGCAGACGAGTATGATGGGACGCAGGAGGCCCGAGAATGGCCATACCATGGCTGCGTCGGCTGGCGACTCAGCGCGCCAGTCGCGAGACCATGCTGCACCGCCGCAGCCCACCACACCGTCAGCCACGGATGCCAGGCATTGTCTCAACTCTGAAGGGCATGCTGCTGATGCGAAAGGTAGAGAAGCGTATAGCGCTGACCATGTCTGCGGGGGCACCGGCGCCTTGGTGGCCTCCGACACGGACGATTCAGAAGTTAAGAGAGAGGTCGCTGTGGTGCTCCAGCCTCGCCCAAAGCTGAATCCGCACATCCCTGTTGACGAGTCGTTGCTGCCGAGCCCAGCCGAAGACACGCGCCAGCTCCTGCATTGCCCTCAGGTGGTCAGCGTTGGCACGGAACGGTGCCCATAGCTCCGCCGACCGCGAAGTCTGGAGCGGCCCGGGGAGCGCGCCGTAGACCGCAGACCGCCTGCCAATCGACGATGTGCACGAAATCTCAGCCAGCGCGCGCACAGAGGAATGATGGAGGAAGCAGACGGGCCACAACAGCCGTGTCCACCTCGGGTCGCCACCGTGGCGGGTCAGCGGCAACTGAGCGAGGACAGAAGGGTTAACGGCCACAGCAATCGCATCCGAAGCCTGGGGACATTGCCAGTGCTTACGGGAGCGAATTGGCAACAACGGCGTATGCCCGAGTCGACGCAGCCGTGGCAGTGGACACGCGTCTGGGATCAGTGCGCGCCGATGATCGCGGCTCCAGCGCTCCAGTCTGGATGTCCGTTGGCTTCCAGGTGGCACCGAATATGCGCAGCGACGCCAGGGGGTCCGTCGACCGATCGTGCGACGAGTCACACCGAGAGTTGCGACGACCAGGACACGTGTTTCCTCATACTTTCCCTGCTCGAGCTTTCCCGGTACCGGGCCGCTCGTCAAGTGCTCGAGGCAAACCGCTTCGGCCGCACGCCGCTCACGTGCCATGCGGTCGCACAGGCCCAGGTTCGGGCTCAGGCCCCTTACGAGACTTCCACGCGGCGTCCGACAAGCTGCGCCTCGCCGTCTCCTTCCACACACTGCCACGCATGAGCGGGGCTCGACGACCACGGTGTGCTCGCGAGAATAGAAGGCAGAAAATCCACCCCGAAAATAACCACCCCGACACGCGAAGCCGTTTAGTAAACGCAGCCGAGAAGGGAATCCAACAGGGCAGGGCTGTTTAGTAAACGCCCAGGGCCGTTTTGTAAACGCCAATTGTCTGGTCCGGGTGGTGTTTCCTCACTTGAGAGAAGCCGCCCATTTCGGCGCCTGCGGGATCTGCCGGCAAGAACGTCCGGACCGCAGACGGTCCGCACGCAGCCGGCCCGGTGGCCCACAGGCCAGGCTGACGGCAGGGCGCCTGCTGGGTGAGACGAGAGCCCTCTGGGCAAGCCTGGTGGAGCGAACAGCGAAGAGGCTCACGCATGAGGGAGGGGAGAACGAGGATGGGGCGGAACGCTGATGAGGCGGGACGCGAGGCAGGGAGGCTGGTGAATAGATGTGGATATGATAGGAGGAGAGTGGGGAGTGGGAGGGCCAGGGGGATGGCAGGAAGAGCAAAGGGAGTAGGAGGAGGGGGCACTGGAGGAGGGGCGGGGGAGGGCCAACGAGAGGGAGCCAACAGATGGAACCCACTGCGGGCAGGAGATGATTGATCGGGAGCCTTGCTCTTGCTCTCCTCGTTGCCCATGCGGCGCTTGACGGTCTGGATCAGCTTCATGCCTTGTTGTTGCATAGGGCCCCCAAGAATCCTTATGCGGTCAAAGCGGTACTAGGTCAATGGAGCCAATGCTAACAAGAAGAACGACACCAGGAATGATGACGGCGACGATGCTTCAGTCTGCGACGATGTCAATCGTCATGGTCACGCGAAGCGATTCGCAGATTGTGGTGTTTGGGCATCCCCGGCAAACTCGTCAGCGAAACTAGGAATCGCGAAAGCGTGGATCCCAAGGGAGCTAGCCACTTTCCCGCTCTCTCTCTCTCTCTCTTTTCCTCCCTCTCTATCTCTCTCTCCCTCTCTCTCCCTCTCCCTCTCCCTCTCCCTCTCTCTCTCTCTCTCTCTCTCTCTCTTTCTTTAATTACCCTCTGTGTTTCTTGACTTCTCCCTCTCTCTCTCTCCCTGTATTTATACATGTAAACTAGAACCATCGCACGCGCTTCGCGTGCGCTCAAGTTCTAGCTAGGCTTGATGGGCTAACTCATGGAATCTCATGTTGGTCGTTCCTTATATCTAAGGACTCTCGTGGAGGCCCGGCGCATGCCTCGGAATCGTATAGAAGGGGAACTGCGGAAACGCAGAAATCATCAATTCCCGTTCGGTATTCAACGATGTGGGGCCCTCAAAGGCTTCCTGGGTTCTTTTCTGGGGGCTGAGGTGGGCCTTAATTATAATCTGTTGTGCAAGAATAGACAGGACGGCGAACTTTGGGATTCCCTTTTTTTCAAGTTGCCGTGCCTGGGCTATGGATTCGAAATGTTCTGGATGCAGGCCACGGTCTGTTGGGATGCCTATCGTGATCTTTGTGCAAAAATACGCATGGTGTGAGTTCGGAAAAAAAGGATTTCGAAACTTCTTTTGTTGCAACGATGGTTTCAGGGGCAGCCAAGAGGACACGAAGACGATCCAAGAGAGTGCCAAGACAGCGTCAGAGAGTTCAACAGCATTCCCGAAATATCTTTGCATGTGACCCCGAAGTCTAGATGGGGCAGGAGGAAGAGGATATAGAGTAGGAGTCCCAACTTGAACAACAAATATCTGAAACTCCTTTTTGTCCGTTCCTGGGCCTTTGAGGTAACGGAAAGAGCGAGGTACGAGTGATGACGTTCTAGTGTGGGGCGAAGCCCTTAAGGGAGGGGTCCAGGGGAGGGGCGAGGCGGGATCGCAGGGTTGGTAATGGCCGTTTTCGGGTTTCCCTTGGGTTTTTGCATGTTCTTCGGGTTCTCCCTTGTCCGTCCCAGAAGAGCTCAAGACCGCCCAAGACAGCCCCAAGACGTCCCAAGAGGCCTCCAAGACGCCCCAAGAGGCGCCCAAGAGGCGTCCCAAGAGGGCTCCAAGAGGCCCAAATCATGGATTTTCCTGATGAAAACGTGCGTTTTAAGCATATATGGCTTTTCGGCTTTCACGGCGTTGACGACTGACTGCCCAAGAGGCCCGCAAGACCGCCCCAAGACGGCCCAAGAGGCTCCCAAGAGGCCCCTAAAACGGCCCAAGAGGGCCCCAAGACGACCCACGAGGCGCCCAAGACGGCCCAACAGGGCCCCAAGACGGCCCCCAGAGGGGGACCACGAACCGAAAAGTTTATCCTTTGGCCCCAAGACGCTCCCAGGAGGCCCCGAACCCCCAAAGAAGCTCCAAGACGCCCCCAAGAGGCGTCCCAAGAAGCCACCAGGAGGCCCAAATCATTGATTCCCCATAAGAAAACGCACATTTTTAGCATGCACGGCTTTTCGGCACTCACGACGTTGAAGACAGTCCAAGAGCCCCGCAAGACCGCCCCAAGACGGCCCAAGAGGCTCCCAAGAGGCCCCTAAAACGGCCCAAGAGGGCCCCAAGACGGCCCACGAGGAGCCCAAGACGGCCCAAGAGGGCCCCAAGACGGCCCCAAGAGGGGGACCACGAACCGAAAAGTCTAGCCGTAGGCTCCCAATACGAACGGTGGTGTGAGTAATTTCGGTTTCTGCTTCTGAAGCGCTCTTTCCGTTTCCGTGCCGGCCCCAGGTCTATTGGAGGATTTCTGGCAGCCTGGAGAGCCGACCGAAGGCTATCTTGTGTTGCTTGGGAGCGTCTTGGGCCGTTCTTTTACGTTTTGGAAGCTTCTTGGGGTCGTCTTGGGCTGTCCTTGGGCGTTTTGGGGGTCCCCCTGGGCCGGAACGCGCGGTACCGGGAGCGTTCCACAGATGTTCTGGTAAGGTGTGGGACCCCTGGGAGGGGGGGAGAATGTTGAACTTGACCAAAAAAAGGAATTTCTGGAATTCCTTTTTCTTTTCAAGTTCCTCGGCCTTTGAGCGTTGGAAACGGGAAAACGTGAGAAGGCGAAAAACGTAGAACAAACCAGCGGAAATCAACGATTTTACCCTTTTCGGGCTTTCTCGGGACGGCTCTCGAAGCTCTCTTGGGCTGTTTTTGGGGCCTCGTCGGGGCCTCTTTGGGGCCTCTCAAGGGTCTGGGGTGTGCTGGGGGCCTCTGGAAGCATGACATGGTGAGAAGGCCCGAACTACCTAAAACAACCATGAACATTAACGGATTGAGGTTCTCCGGGCGCTCTTGGGAAGCCTCTCTGAGCTCTCTTGAGGTTCCTTGGAGGCCTCCTGGGAGCTTGGAGAGCCGCCCGAAAGCTATCTTGGGTTGCTTGGGAGCTTCTTGGGCAGTTCTTTTACGTTCTGTTACCAGGAGCGTAATCCAGATGTGATCGAGGTGGAGGACGCCCTGGGAGGGGGCCTGGCCTATTTGCTTATATTACATATGCGTATATGCATCTATACACACACATGTACATATATTGTTTCCTCTCTCTCTCTCTCTCACTCTCTCTCTCTCTCTCTCTCTCTCGATGTATATTTATATATATACACACACACACCTTTCGGACGTACTCAAGATCAACCAAAAACGAAAGAGGAGTAACATATTGATGACAGCTGCTGCGGGTACTGGGCTCATTGTGACCGCGGCCCAGCAACACGAGTGACCCAAATCTCTGGGAAGGTGGAGCAAAATCCGCCGACCTTGTCGGCGTGTGGGATGTCTGTCTGGTCCTGTCGACGGGGAGCCTTCTTTCGTCCCCTCCTTCCCACACTCCTCTTCCGTCGGGGGAGAAAGAGAGAGACAGAGAGAGAGAGAGAGGGAGAGCACCCTTCCTCGTTCGGGGAACGGGTTCGCAGCTTGAGGGAATTCCATCCGCGCCCTCACTACGACAAAGGGGAGCCCCTTCCCTTTGTCCCTTCCCCGGCGGGGGGGTCCCGGGGGGCGTGGTCAGATTCGCATCGCATGGGGGTCCTCCTCTCCCACGCCGTTTCTTCTCTGGCGCGCCGGTCCTTCCCGGGTCCTCCTCTCCAGGTGGGGAGGAGTCCCAGGGGGGGGGGAGGGGAGTCAGATACGCATCCGTCCCTGGGGGCCCTCCTCCCCCTCCCCTCCCCTCTCCCACGGCAGTTCCAGGGGGGGGGGCCCAGGGGGAGTCCTTTTCCTCCTCCTTCTCCTCCTCCTCTTCCTCCTCCTCCTTATCTCCGCCTCCTCCTCCTCCTTCTTCTCCTCCTCCTCCCCCTCCTGGTCGTCGTCGATGTCTTTCAGGGTCGGCGGCACTGGCCGTCAGGCCTTCACAATACGTGTGTGCGCGCGCGTGCGTAAACACAATCGCGCGATCGAGCAGATCTCGTGAACAGATCAGAACGCCACCATCTGTCCTGCCCCTGCCGCATGCCCTTCCCCTGCCCTCTCCCTCCTCGGACTCCCTTTTACCGGATCTCCCCTCGCCCTCCCCTCCTTTTCCCCCTCTTGCCTTGCCTCACATCCCTTTCTCGACTGCACGCAAGAGCGACCCTGGATAAGAGTGACCTTTGGTGCGCGTTTTTTGGGGGGGCCGCGGGTGGGCCAAGCACAAGCGCGCAGGACGCTACTATCGCAGCGCGTTGGGCGAACTGGACTCGCCATCGCTCGGACGTACGTTCCCCGTGCACTCCTCGGCTGCGTGCGTTTGTTTCTCGCACGAGGATCCGAGATGCTCCTCTACGGTCCTCGCCGAGGAAAAAAAACGCACACGTCCAATGAGGAGGAGGAGGAGGAGGAGGAGGAGGAGGAGAAGGAGGAGGAGGAGGAGGAGGAGGGGGAGGCGGAGGAGGAGGAGGAGGAGGGGGAGGCGGAGGAGGAGGAGGAGAGGGGAGGAGGAGGAGGGAGGAGGATTAACTGGTGAGGGTGATTAATATACTTGAGTGAGGTAGCTTTATTAGGGAGGCGGAGGAGGGACATCATTAGTGGGAATTGATTCATTTTTACCATTATTATTCTTCATTCTTACTTATTATTCTTTCTTATAGTAGTTTTCATTATGATAAGAGTATGTCCACCCTCTTACGATGATTTGACTATGACTTAGTTCCGAGGCTTTAGTATTAGTCAATTATTACGGATTATAACTCTTACGTAGTAATTGCGTAAAATTAGTGCGTGAGTTAAGGGTTGAGTACTATTGTGTTCCAAGTGTATCTTTAGTCCCACATCTGTTTTTTGTTGTACGTACAATTTAAGTCCTCCGCTGCGCGTTAGTCAATTTCATGATGCCTTCTGGTCTCTGCAACTCTCCAATAACATCTCAACACTTACAGCCTTCTTCATCGTACCATTCTCTCGCTCTCCCTCTCGCGAGGCTCGACATTCAAGAATCGAGGATCGAGGATCTGGGGTCGGGGAGCGAGGGGCAAGGATCGAGGCTCGAGGATCGGGCGATCGAGGATCTCTCTTTTTTTTTTTTCTCTCTCTCTCTCTCTCTCTTCATCTCTCTACTTCTCTCGCGAGGATCGAAAATCAAGAGTCGAGGATCGAGGATCTGGGATCGGGGAACCAGGGGCGAGGATCCAGGATCGGGCGATCGATATGGGGGGGACTGGCAGAAGGGGGGGTGCATCGACCTGGAAGCGGCGATTTACATCGCCTAGAGATCGGCGATAGGCCCCCGATAGCGAACCCGCACCTTCTTTTGCAGGTTGGGGCTATGGGGCACAAATCGGCGATCAATGGGCTATTGGGGGTCGATGCATGCCCCCTATGCCTATCCCCCCCCTACTGTTGCCCCTGACTCTCGCATGTCTTCCCACGAGTGAATACTCACTCATGGACTCAGTGCCCAAGCTCCCTCTCTCTCTCCCTCGCATTTGTCGCGGTGGCGGGCCCTCTGCAGCTGCTCTGGTGTGGCCATACTGACTGCTCGCTAGGCCGTTCAAGGCCCCTCTAGGACCACCTCCCCTTGGAAGCGGCTGGGGCGTCTGAATTGGATGGACCTCGGAAAGAACGATCAAAAAGGACGATAATGGCAGATCCACTCCAAAGCGGTCCCTGGCCCCCTCCGGGGGCCCACCTGGTGCAACCTTCACTCCGGATCCGTTTTGTGAGGGTCGCCCGACAGCGCCCTTCCAGACACCGCAGGCGACCGCAGGAGGGGAAACACCTTCTCGAAACCAGAACCTCGGGCCTCCCCCTTCCAGCTGGCCCGAACCGGTGCTGCTGGGCCACAGACTCCCAGCCAGCTCCAACTCTGGGGCCACCTCCCTGCGCTCCTGGATGCTATCCACCACCCGTTTACTGCCCCGGCGCTGCCGAGTGCCCTGGGCGAGGAGGAGGAGGAGGAGGAGGAGGAGGAGGAGGAGGAGGAGGAGGAGGAGGAGGAGGAGGAAGGAGGGAGAGAGGAGGGAGGAGGAGGGTGAGGACGGGGAGGACGAGAGGAGAGGATGAGGGAGGAGGGGGGGGGGAAGAGGGGAGGAGAGTGTAGGAGGAGGAGGAGGAGGAGGAGGAGTGTCCTGGGCCGAGCGCCTGGGGCGCGGAGCGCCCCAGGGGCGCCGCAGGATTCGGCGCCGAGGCGTGGAGACCGCCCTGGACTGGTCGGGAGGCCTTTTGAGGCCAGCCGAGGCCACCGGGAGGGCCTGCTGCAGGCCAGGCGAGACCCCCTGGGAGGGGGAGGGCTGCCCGAGCGCGGCCCGAAGCTTCACCACTCCACTCCTCGATCCCCCACGCCCCCCGCTGACTGCCCCCCCCCCCCGGCTGCTTCAACGCACGTTCCACGCTTCTGCGCAGCGTGCGCGCACGCCGAGATTCGTGACCTTCGTTGCTTTGCTCAGCTCCGAGGGCTTGGCGAGAGTAGGGCAGGGGGAATACAACACTCGGCGGTGGACAAACCTCCCTTTAGCAAACCTCCCCTCAGTGAAAACGGCCTGGGACCGAAGCCGACGGACCTGGACCCGCAAAAATGACGGCCGCGACGCCCTCTCGCGAACCGAAAACGGCCAATTCCTCAATCGACGCGTCAGGGTAGGAGGTCTATCCACCCCCGAAAAACAAGGACACAGGAGGACAGGGCGGAACAATGACAGGCCCTGCGGGCTGCCGAGCGCCCAGCTCTTCCCCCCTCGCGCTGCCTCCCTGGCCTTCGGGCCTGTGACTCCGCTCTCTCCGGCGGCCGCGTATACGGGATGAGCCCGGCGCCACCGGAGCGCTCGCGGCGGGGCGCCGCTGCCGGAGGGCGCCCCGAGGCTGGAAAACAGCTGAGAACCGACGAGAACGCCCGAGCCACCTCGAGCCTCGAGCCCGGGCCCCCCTTTGGCCCCCCCCCCCCCGCTGCCGAGCGCCCAACCCAGACCCCCGACGTCGTGTTTTTTTGTCGCAGCTCCCCCTCCTCCTCCTCCTCCTCCTCCTCCTCCTCCTCCTCCTCCTCCTCCTCCTCCTCCTCCTCCTCCTCCTCCTCAAGGTTGCATACCCGCCTCAAGGTTGCAAGGTTGCATACCCGCCTAACGTACCTCCCACGTTTTGCTTCTGTGACTCATTCGTTGATTCACTCGTTCTGTTGGGGGTGTCGTTTACGTGGAGACTATGCCGCTGTCCGCCGAGCAGATTTCGAAGCTGAAGCAGAATGACACTGAGATCGAGTTCAAAGAAGAAAATCCGAGACGTCCAGGATCAAAGCCACATGAACGTTACGACACATACAAGGTCGCCAACACTGTTGGTGAAGCGACTCAGTACGGTGCAAAATGGGCGGACCTGACATCGGACTTTCAGAAAGGGTTTTTGACCATCAAAGACACCCAAATGGAAGATCCAACGTCGCTTTTGACGACTCCGAAGGGGGAGGCGCAGCTTGGGACACCGGATCGGGATGCAGCGGCACGTTCAAAACGCGTGAACGCTGGGATTTCTGGGTCTTCTATGGTTTCGGCGCCAGCGACCGAGGTAACTGTGGAGAAAGTCGAGATGAGCCCTGCCACAGTTGCCCTACTCAGGCACATGATGAGGGACGAGATCAAACTCGGCATATCCGAAATCCAAGCGTCGAACGCCCAAGCGATGACTGAGATGAAGAAGGAGTTGCAACAGGAACGATATGCACGCAAGGAGTTGGAGAAACGAGTCACGGCCCTGGAGGAGAAGCTCCAGAACTCCCAACACACGAACACTGAGACCGAGGACATCGACAAGAATGTGGCTGTTGTTGGCCTCACTGGAGGGTTTGATGAAATGGGGGCTGATGAAGCAGAGCAGCTTGTCCGAGACGCACTGGATGAAACTGACGGGTTCCAGGAGGTTTGGTCCTTCAGCGAGAAACCCTCTGTCGTGTTTGCCCGCTTCTCCGACATCGCGAAGACCATGAAGTTCCTGAAGACACAGAAGCGCAATCGTAAGTTCAAGGAGGCAGGTTTGTGGGCTTCTGAGAACCGCACTCCGGAGGAGAGGAAGAGGACGAAACTTGTAATCAAAATCAAAAAAATTGTGATTGAATTGCAGGGGGTTGAGTCCAAACACATCGTGGCGAATTACAAGACGTTTAAGGTGCATGTCCGGTCCAACCGGCGCTTGTACCTCGTGGCGAACGTGCCGGAGAACGAGTCGCCGCAGTGGGTGGACGAGGGGTTCGAGGTAGACGACTCGGTCACGGAGGCTGTGAACGAGTTCGCGGACGAGCTGTTCCTGTGAAGGGCTTCTGGTCAACAGCCAAGGCCGGAGCAAGGTCAAAGATCGGCGGGCCGTTTGCCAGCCGAGGCGGCTACAGAATTCGTGAGCATGCACCTTATCACAAAAAACGTACAAAGTTCACGTGACAGCAATCGGTTTGACGACTTCTTGTTGGAGCTCGGCCGGTCTACTTACGATATCGTTTTCTTGACGGAGACGTGGCGGGAGGAGCGCGAGGACATCATCGAGACTCCTCGTGGTGACATGCTTTACTTCAGCGGTGGATCGAAACACCGTGGTGTGGGCATAGGCTTATCACGCGATTTTCTCAGGCAGCTGAGTGGGGTTCGATTCCACTCAGTCTCAGAGAGGGCTTGTGCATTGGATTTTCGGCATGGTGCTACGCAATTTCGAGCAATAGGTGTCTATTTCCCAACGTCTTGGGACACGCCTGAGGCGGCTGAGGAAGTGTACATGCTGTTGTCCCTTCTACTTGAAGATGGGAAGCGCCAGGGTATGGCCCCAATCATTGGTGGTGATTTCAACGCTTCAATCGGTGAGCTCCAGAAGGGGGATGACGCTGACATGCTGGGACCATGTGGGTGTGGAGTACGCAACGCTCGTGGGCAGACGCTTGTTCGATGGCTCTCGGAACACGGGCTTCAAGTTTTGAGCCGCCAGCCAGATGCGCGCCATGCCCCTGATTCGTGGACTTGCTTGCGGGCTTTTGACGGGTCACGCGTCCAGATCGATTTTCTGTGCGCCGATGTGTCTTTCGAGTTTGTCCACAGTTGGTGCGACAATGCTTTGGCTGTTGGCCTCGACCACAGGTGCGTCCATAGCCGGTGCAGGTATTTAACTCAGAAGCGACAGCGGCCTGAACAGCAGCGAAGTTTCAAGGGCTGGCAGCCTAGCTTGGATTCGTCTGGCGTTGCAGCGTCTTTCCATGAAGTGCTCTTCCAATCTACTCCTGCGGACGCTATTTTCGAGGACATCGAAGACGCATTGCAACGAGCCGCCGGTCATTGCAGGAGCAGGAAGCGCACCGTCCAACACAAGTTTGCCCCATCAAGTGCCCTACATATGTTGCGGGCCAGGAGGCGACAGGAGGTTGACCAATCCGCCAGAAGGCAGTTGTCGTTGCAAATCCGCCAGATGCACCGCAGAGAGACAAGGGCCTGGAAGACGGCGCGGTTGCAACGATACTTGTCCAATACATCGTGTTGGCGGGGGTTGAAAAA